GAAAAGCTAAAGGAGTTCATTACTGCCAAACCAGTATTATATAAATTGCTGAAGGGTATTCTTTAAGAAGAGGAAGAAGAAGAAAAGGGTAAAGATAAAAATTCTGAACAAAGTGACAACAAATACATATCTAACAATATGTGAATCTAAACATCAAGTGAATAAAAAAATCTGATGAACAAAATAATCTGGTGAATAGAATAGAATCAGGGACATAGAAAGGGAATGGACTGACTATTCTGGGGGGGGAAAGGGGTGTGGGGGATGCGAGAAGAGACTGGACAAAAATCGTGCACCTATGGATGAGGACAGTGGGTGGGGAGTGAGGGCAGAGGGTGGGGTGGGAACTGAGAGGAGGGGAGTATGGGGGAAAAAAGAGGAACAAATGTAATAATCTGAACAATAAAGATTTAAATTTAAAAAAAAAAGAAATTAGCTGTTAATCTTGTTGAGCAACCCTTATATTTAATGAGTCACTTCTGTCTTGCTGCTTTCAAGGTGACCTCTTTTCCTTTGTCTTTTGACAGTTTGATTATGATTTGTCTAGGTGTGGATCTTATAACGTCGTACTTGGCTGTTTTTTTAGTTTCTTGGATGTGTAGGTTCATGCTTTCTTTTTTACATATGTAAAATTTGGGAAGCTTTCTGACATTATTTCTTTTAAAAATATTATTGATTTCAGAGAGGAAGGGAAGGGGAGAGAGAATCATTGATTGGCTGCCTCCTGCACACCCCACATTGGGGATCAAGCCCATAATCCAGGCATATACCCTGGCTGGGAATCAAACTGTGACCTCCTGGTTCATAGGTTGACGCTCAAGCCAAGCCAGCTGGGCCTGACATTATTTCTTCAGATATACTCTTTGTTCCATTCTTTCTCTCTTTTCCTTCTGAATCTCCCATTGTGCCTATGCCTGTTGTGTCCAACAGGTCTCTGAGGATCTAGTGGGGGGGTTCTTTCTTTCTGCTTCTCAGGTTAAAAAACTCTCAACTGACCTATTTTCAAGTTCATTGATTCTTTCTTCTGCTTGCTCAATTTTTTGTTAAATCCCTGTAGTGAATTTTTCATTTCAATTATTCTACTTTTCAACTCCATAAATTCGATTTCATTTATTTTATAATTTCTATCTCTTTATTATTAATCACTACTTGGTAAAATATCATTTTCATACTTTGTTTTAGACCTGTTAACTTGGGTTCCTTTATTTGAGCATATTTAAAACATCTCATTTAAAGTTTTTGTCTAGTAATTGCAAAGCTTGGTCTTTCTCAGGGACAGTTGTTCTTGTTTCTTTGCATGTCACAAATTTTTTTTGAAAACTGGATATTTTTTTTTTTTTTTGCGCACGTAGGAGGTGGCGGGCTTCCGCTGGCCGGATCTCCGCTTCATGATGACCACCACCCCTTTGCCGTCGGGCGCCGGCTCCACGCCCACCGTCTTGCGGTGAATCAGCCCGTTGTAGCGGAAGGAGTTGCGGGCCTTCAGGTTATTGGGTTCGGTGCTGTAGGTCTGCTTGTTCCTCTTGATCAGGAAGCTGGAGCAGTTCCGCACGATCATCCATTGCAGATGGGCAGACATGGCGGCAGCTCCTCACGCTGCGGCAGCCGGAGACGGAAAGAGGCCTATTTTTCTATAATATAATGTGGTAACTAGAAATTAGATTCTCTCTTATGCCAAGGGTGCTTTATGTTTTGTTTTGTTTCTCTGTTTTTATTATTGTTGCTGTTCTTTGTTTCATGACTTCTGTAGTAATTCTCTGAAGTGTGTATTCTTTGTCATGTGTGACCACTGAGAGTGCTGTCAATCTTCTTTTTTTTTTTTTTTTTTTTTTTTTTAGCTGGGTAGTGGTTTCCCTATGGTATTCATTTTTTAAAACTTTCATTAAAGCACACAATAACATTTTATGCATCAAATTTGTATGTAATCCGTATTAAAAAGAAATGAGCTATTCAGCCATGAAAAAACATGGAGTAACCTTAAGTGCATATACTTAGTGAGAGTAGCCAATCTGAAAATGTTATATACTGTATGATTTCTGGAAAAGGCAAAAATATGAAAACAGTGAAAATGTCAGTGGTTTCTAGGGGGAGGGAGGGATGAACATATGTATCACAGAATATTTTAGGACAGTGAAACTATTCTATATGATACTATAATGGTAAATACATGTCATTATACACTTGTCAAAATGCATAGAAAGTACATGCCATGAGAGAACTCTAATGTAAACTATGGACTTTGGGTGATGTGATTTGTCAATGTAGGCTTAACTATTAAAACAAATGTACCACTCTGGTGTAGAATTTTGATAGGGAGTTGTGTGTGAGGGTAAAGGCAGAGGGTATATGGAAACTCTGTACTTTCTGTTCAATTTGCTGTGAACCTAAAACTGCTCAAAAGTAAGGTCTATTTAAAAATCTGTATGTATATGTCACAATTTTTAAAAGAGGAAATGTCTAGAAAGACGTGATTATAGTTATAGTGCTCTAAGTTTCTCATTTTTTAGGCGATACATCAATATATTAACTTTACACTTAATAAGTATACTGGGCTGTCAGTGTCCAAATTCAATGCTTTTCCCATTACACCATCCTTCTTCTGTAGGATCAAGTTTGGAATTATTAATTACCCAAGTTCTCCTAGGTTCAGTCCTGACAAGTGAACAGCCATATTCAGCACCTGGGCTAATTTTTGCAGTTGTCGTAGCTTCTTTCTCTTTCCTACTTGTAAGGGTCTCCTTGCTGTCATGTTTGAAAGTTCCTTCCAATATCATTCTCTCCAAAGAGTTCGTTCCTCTCCTTGATCTCCAAGTTACAATAGCTGAGAGATAATGACCTCCTCCCTTATGCCCTCCCCTGAAATTAATCACCCTTTACCTCCTGCTTCTGGAGGAACAGTGACAGAAGCCTTGGCATACCACTTGGAAAGGTCTCTGACTTGTGATCAAGAGGATTAGACTAAGAAAGAGACCGAGCTAATGATTAAAGAGTCAGGGATCATGTTTCCTTGCTTCTATTCCTAGCAGTACTGTACTAGTATGGGATTGGTTCAAATTAACACCTGATTTTCTATCTGTGAAAGTAGAGATACCAATCTATTTAGGCTCACAAAATACTTGGGGAAAATGTTTTTGTTGATACCATAAGAGTGACTGACCAGAGAAGTCTGGGAATTTTTATAAATAAAATAACCATGAATCGGCTTGTAAACACCATACCATTCCACAGCATCATTCCTTTTTTTAGCTAGTTTTTTTTTTAAACAGATTGTGTCACCCAACAGACGCAGGCTTTGCTAGGAAGAAAAGGAGTGAAAGTGTGTTACAAGACATGTGTAAGGTCTTGCCTTCAAGGTACTTACAATCCTACTGGAGAGAAAAAAAATTCATGTAGGAGGAGGAAGGATGATAGCAAACCACTGAAATATGTCACTGGTTTGGAGTGCATGATCATTGCTTTGTAAGTCAGAGGTGAGGCTCACCTTGGAAGAAAGAGAGGAAGTTTTGTGTAGCTAATTAACTGTAAAAATTTAGGGCACTCCATAAGTTCCTTAAGAGTAAAGGTCAAAAGATCTACTTTCAGACTCCTTTGAAAGCTGTGTTTTCTCTTAAAGAATGACTCTGTTAAATTCAACTGGGATCTGTTTTTTCAAGTCCTCAGCATATTCTAGAAGCCTTATTTTCCTGATTCTCCTTTTTATCACAATGCTGCTGCCTGTCTTGGAAAGTAATAGGACTCCACTCCTTGGACAGTGTTCTACATCCTAGCTGGTCTACAAGTTTAGATTGACCTTTTACCTAGTTAGGGCTCAGAAGTAAAGTTTGACTCCATCAAGGAAAAGTGGTAAGAGATATGATCCTTTGCGGACAGTGTCTCTTTGTGAGGCAGTGCAAATCGAATAAGGGAAATGGGGATAATCTTCTCTTCCATATGTTATGCTTTCCTGATGACCAATAATTTTGATTGATTTGTTTAATGTCTATTTTCCTCACTAAAGGGCAGACTCTGGGAGGGTGGTGACTATATCTTTTTTATTCTCTGCTGTATCCTCAATACTTAGCACAGTATCTGACACATAGTAATTGTCTTACAAATATTTGTTAAGTGAATGAAGAATTAATTAAGTGGGATTTATTTTTTTTAGAGATTAAAGAAACAGGACTAAAAGAGGTTAGATAATTAGCTCAAGGTCACTATTGTTAGTTAATTTCCTGTGTACCTCTCCTGTTTCTGCCCATCTTCTGACCAGAGACACTGACTAACATTGTTCTGGACTATTTTATCAAGGATATTTGTATAGTGAACAGCTTTGGAAGATACAGTGTCTCCCTGTGAAACCAGGAAAGACATACTTACTGCCCATCTTAAAGATTCATTCAGATCAATCCAGATTCATTAAGCTCAATGTTACTTCCCTGTAACACAACCCATAGCATGTTCACCTGGTCCTTTTCAAGTAGTTCCTATGAGATTTGGGGGAAATGGGAACTGACACAAGAAAATGACAAACTGGTACTCTGGCTATTGCTATTGCTGCAAGAAATGTTTCCTTATCTCTGATCCAGGAGTCTCATGTCTTATGCCAGCATCCATGAAAATGTGGCAGGCTAACTTGTTAGCTTGCAAGTACACATATATAATGGAATACTACTCATCCATAAAAGGAATGAAATCTTGTCATTTGCAACAGCATGGGTGGAGGGTATTGTGCTAAATAAAATAGACAGAAAAAGACAAATACTGTATGATTTTACTTATATGTAGAATCTAAAAAACAAACAAAACAAAATAGAGCCCAGCCAGTGCGGCTCAGTGGTTGAACACGGGCCTATGAACCAGAAGGTCATGGTTCAATTCCCAGTCAGGGCACAGGCCCAGGTTGTGGACACCCTCCCCAGTGGGGGGCATGCAGGAGGCGGCGGACTAATGATTCTATTATCATTGATGTTTCAGTTTCTCCCTCTCCATTCCTCCCTGAAATCAATAAAAAAAAATATGTATTTTTAAAATGGAAACAAACTCAGATACAGAGAACAAACTGATGATTGCCAGGTGGGACAGGGTCGGGGATGGGCAAAAAGGTGAAGGGGATTAAGAAGTACAAATTGAAAATTATAAAAACAGTAATGGGAATGTAAAATGTAGCCTAGGGAATATAGTCAATAATATTGTAATAACTATGTATGGTATTGGATGGGTACAACATTTATCAGGGCAATTACTTCCTAAGTTATATAAATGTCTAATCTCTATGTTGTACACCTGAAACTAATATAATAATGTATGTCAACTGTAACTGAAACGTTTTTAATTTTTAAAATAATATTGTAATAGCTATGTACTATAGCCCTAACCGGTTGGCCCAGTGGATAGAGCATCAGCCTGCGGGTTCGATTCCGGTCAAGGGTATGTACCTTGGTTGCAGGCATATCCCCAGTGGGGGTTGTGCAGGAGGCAACTGATCGATGTTTCTCTCTCATCGATGTTTCTAACTCTCTATCCCTCTCCCTTTCTCTCTGTAAAAAAAAATCAATAAAATATATTTTTTAAAAATAGCTATGTACTATAGTGCCAGATGGGTAGATAGACTTATTGTGGTGATTACTTCATAAGGTATATAAATGTCTAATCATTATGCTATATGCCTAAAATTAATATAATATTGTATGTGAACTATAAAAATAAATTTTAAGCCCTAACCAGTTTGGCTCAGTGGATAGAGCATTGGCCTGCAGACTGAAGGGTCCCAGGTTTGATTTCAGTCAAGGGTATGTACCTTGTTTGTGGGCACATCCCCAGTAGGGGGTGTGCAGGAGGCAGCTGATCTATGTTTCTTTCTCTTTGATTGTGGGGGGCCGATATAGGGTTAAGCCTCGGACTGACCTGTTGGCAAAGTCACAAACAAGTCCCAGCTTAGAGGGCACAGTCCTCTTAGCGTAATTAGGCTTGACCTTATAACGTTCCCACTCTGGCTGGTGTAGCTCAGTTGGTTGAGTGTCATCCTGTGCACCAAAAGGTTGCCAGTTTGATTCCCAGTCAGAGCACACGCCTGGGTTTCAGACTTCATCCCCGGTAGGAGGTGTGCAGGAGGCAGCTGATCGATGTTTCTCGCTCATCGATGTTTCTAACTTTCTATCCCTCTCCCTTCCTCTCTGTAAAAAATCAATAAAATATATATTTTAAAAAATAATAAATAAATTTTAAGATGAATGGATAAAACAGCCATGGAACATTTACACAATGGAATACTACTAGGTTGTAAAAAGGAAGAAAATTTTACCCTTTGCGACAGCATGGATGGACCTAGGGAGTATTATGCTAAATGAAATAATCTAGTAAGAGAAAGACAAATATCATATGATTTCACTCATATGTGGAATTTAATGAACAAATTGAACTAACAAGCAAAATAGAGACAGATTTATAGATAGCAGCCAGACAGCTCTGTTGTGGGGGAGGGATTGGGTAAAAAAGAAAAAGAAAGAGCTTATGAACATGGACAAAAGTATGGTGATTGCAGGGGTGAAGGGTGCCTTGAGAGAAGAAAGATTATGGTGAAGATAGCCTTGAAAACTGAGACTCCAAAGCAGCTTTAATTATCACCATCTTTTTATCTT